CCGACTCAAATCTCATTTTGTCGAGGCCTTTTCCTAGTGCGAATAACACAGTCTCTCGTAGTGCTAAGGCTTCGGCCACAAGTGGAGATGCCACATAAGTCATGGTTTTGCTGTGTTCCATGATCTGGATTCCTTGTGATATTACAACCCATCCCAAACCCGCCGTTTTAGTCTCTGTCTTCCAGGCCGCGTTTGATTGGCATATGAATAGGTTTGTATCGTGGTTGTGTGGTTTCGAAGCGTGTGCTCTGTTTGGAACAGGGGCATGTGGATCTTGTTGAGCTTCGGTCCATTCCTTTACCATAGTTATCGCCGAAGTTAGCGTGTCTTCGATTGTGATAATCTTGTCGTTAAAAACTAATTTGTTTCTGCTCAGCCATAGAGACCACAATATCTAGGGCGATAAAGGTCCCTTCACCAATCCCGTTGGTGGTAGACAAAGCTTTGTTTTAATTTTTTCCCATGCAGCTTCGTATTCCATCCATGTTCCTGATTCCGTATCAGTCGAAAATGGTGCTCCTCTCCATACTCTTTGCGAGAAATCGCATTGGAAAAACATGTGGTTGATTGATTCAACTTCACCGCAACATTTGCATAGAGGATCCACTAGTATATGTCTTGTAACCAGTCTTTCTCCCACTGGCAACGCCTTGTTTGCAACTTTCCAAAGAAAGAGTTTGAGTTTGGGACTCACATTCTGTTTCCACACGTCCGTGATCCAGTCAATGCCGGTTGTACGTCGCAAATCCTCCTCTGTTTTTTGCTCTTCCAAAGATGTGAAATACCCAGTTTTTGTTGTGTAGTCACCGGTAGATTTTCTCAGCCAAACTAGTTTGTCCGGAGCTCCTATTTGACTCGGCTTTATGCTCATGATATCAGGGTCATACAAGGGCAATACTGCTTCGATCTTTCCTTTGCCCCACTCGGATGTGTTGTGTTGAAAGGGATCAACCACTGTTAGATCATTTGTTTCAAAAGGAGCATGTCCCATCGGCTGCACTTGTGATGAAGAGGATAGCCATGCGTCGTACCATATGTTA